GTTTTGCTGTATTTTTTTTTTTTTAATTTCATTACATATTTTACAAGGAACACATTTGGTTTGGGCATTTGATTTAAATTTAATAGTAATTTTTTGAAAGTAGTATTTCTTTAATTCTATATTTTTATTGTTATTTTTTAAATTTTTCTGGAAATTTAAATCATTTTAAATTTTTAAAATGCAATGTCTATTTTAAATGGAAAATATTTTTTTTTAGTTTCATTTAATAATAACATAGGCCGAAAAAATTTCATAAAATTTTCTAACCAAGAATCAGACTATACTTTTCCAAAGGTCTTTGACGTGCTGAATTCGAATCTGATTCCATAATAGCCCAATCACGTCAGGTTTTCGAGATATTTACCCTAAAATTACAAAAATCACGATTTTTGGGCACATTTGGGCTCCTGTAACACGATGAAAAAATTTGTTTTTTGTAGAAAGATCATCTCGTTAACTAAAAGCACTACTCCTCCCCTCCAAAATTAATTTTAAACCTTTAAAAAATCTTTATTTGTCACGGAGAAGTCTTCTGTTGAATTTACTGAGTTTAGTAAATTCGTTGATATTCTACTAAACTGATACTGATACGGATCAGAAACGGTTGCCTTCACGCGACACCCCGGCCGGCATTCGAGATAAGACGAATTAAGATCGTCCTTGTACTGGCCTTGAGCTTGCCGCATCAACTCATAGCAGTAAAAGAACTAGTCGGTTACTACCTGTTGATCTATTACTTAGAATGTTTACCACCTTATTTGGCTTTTCACTGCAGGATATATACTAATTATATGTGTGAGTTTACTTATACTATGCATGTGTATCAGACTCATTCACTCCCCAACATGGCGCCCCCATTTGGTGACATATTGTTGTCCTAAGCCGACAGACCTATCAAATTATTTTTATACCAACACTTAACACAGCCATGCATACCTTCGATATTACACAAATGCCGATATACACAGTTACATATCCACATATATGTAAATATATATGGAAATGTGTATAGTCTGCGTAAGTCATTTTATTAATGGAGTTTATTAAGCGTTTCACTACTTTAACAAATGGCTTGCCATCGCCTGCTATACAAAGGCATAAAGCACAGGTGGACACCATTAAAACTGTTATTTTATACACTTGCATGCGTGCATATTTGTAAGTGTGTGTGACGTAACACTTTCCTGGGGATTTGTCTGACATTGGCGCAACTAATGATCAATGACTGTGTGGCTTGATTGACCAGCGCATCGCCACAATACCATTAATCCGTAGAATATGGCACCTGTGTGACCATACACATTTCATATATGTATGTATATACTGTACATACACTCATATACATAGGCATGCATACATTTATGGCTTTTGCTATTGATAAATGTGCACAGGTCTAGAGCTCGATAAGAATAGCTGCATAAGCACTTAGTTCTATTGATTGTGGGTTCATAAATAAATATACGCTTTGTAGTTGATTGTTAGCCAAGTACGCTTGTCTCGTTATTTCTTCGAAACACGCAAGTACTACTTAAGTACATATGTACATTAGGGTGCCCATCGAAAATGATTCTTTGTTTTTGGAAATTTCAGAACCCTATCCTCCAATTTTATTCGTTTTTATGAGAAATATTATTTCCTATTTTAATAGAATTTTTAAAGGACATTTAGAGCTCGCGACCTGAAGATTTAGGTCAGAAAATAGGATTTTGTAGATTTATGAGTTTTTGAATGACTATTTTTGATTCGATTTTAAAGATCGGATATGATCTGAGAAGAGGATATATGGGCCTTTAAAATGGTATTGGACTAGGCTTGTTGGAATTTTTTATCAGGTAAATTAAAAATAGACCCATATTTCTCGTAATTTTCTAAATTTTGACCATCGATAGTCTCTACAATTTCAAAATATGGTGCACTATCTAAAATTAAATCTATTTTCAAATAAACTGATATCTCCTTTATTGCAATCGCATAAAAATTGTCGAATTTAGGCGACTTATCTTGAATACGGGCTTGAATTTATATGTGTGTGTGTACCGGAATTTCAGATTTTTTTGAGCAGTTTGGCTAAAGAGTTCATCAATATTTATTCAAAATTGTTATATACAAACGCTCTTTAGCAAAAAAGTGGTTTTTGAAGAAATTTTAGGAAAATATGATTTATGATATATGCGTATCTCAAAAAGCTACTTGCCCGATCTCGACCAAATTTGCTATACACACTTGTGCTTACTTCCTTAAGTACCGTTTTAAATATTTTTGAAATCGGACGAATAAAATTACGGGGTAGGGTCTTCAAATTTCCACAAAAAAAGCATTTTCGATGGGCACCCTAATGAACATACATTGCTGGATATACTTTTTTACGCACAGTGTTACATATATGGCGCTCCTATTTCAAAATATTTTTCTGCTTCCATCGGTCAGTACAAAACTTTCGAAATGCCTCTACTGCATGCCACATACCAGTCCATATACTCAGGCACTAAAATCTCAGTTCATTTTAGTATCAGAAGGCACTCCAATAAACTCCGATTTATTATGGTTTCATTTTACTTCGTTATTCATTTGATACTTTTGTATTCGTCTGTTTGCCTCTTCATGCAGTAATTTGTCACCAACGCTTGCAATGGCATTGTGTATCCTTAGAATGGCTCACTCGCACTACGCACTTAAGTACTTACTTATGTGCATCCTCATAGTCCCACGACGACAACAACAAAGCAACACTTCATACAATTGGATCATTTGTGCACTCTTGCACAGATAATAATCTGTGAAAACTCACAATGCATCCTTTCAATTTGGAGTGTGCGTTTGAGTTAGCAAAATCTTATTCGCAACTGTTTGACAGGAAAAGAAAAAATATATTTCCTATTGTGCAGGAAATTCAGTAAAAAAAGTTGGTGAATTTTTTGAATTAACTTCGGAGAAAAATTCATTGGACCAAAGATTAAAGAGGAACTTTTTTAGAGATGTATTGAACAACATTTTATAGAGTAGGGGGAGAGAGAGAGGGATCTTGCAGCAGTAAGACAAGTTGCTAACGCTCAAATTCTTGTCAATGCGTTCAAGTCTAAGGTCTGGATAATGTAGCAGCCTAAACTCCCAACACATACAGAGTCCAGCCTGGCGTGCCAATATAAGCCCGGCTTCTGAATGCACCCCCTCGGAACACCCACCACGTCTTCACTTGGTTGGCCCATTAAATCCTCTCAGCTAACACGATTTTCCCTTTAGTCGAGCCACGTGGAAGCAGCAAGCCTCCTGTGCCTACCATTAGTTGAGCTTGTCAAATACGAGTGCCACTTAAATAACAACTAAAATACTACATTTTTAATGGAGTAGATGAAAGCTTAAATTTCCAAGGCGTAGCGACGCGTTGGAGACCAACTTTAGAGAAACTCAACATTTGCAATTCAACTTCCATGCTCTTGTGATAAATTTAAGGTATATTATAGGTATTTTATAAGTATAGAAAGCCGATTTCCATTTTTTTTCAACGTGTAGCGATTTTCCAATCTTATCTTGACTTTCAAAATATCCGCCTCATTGATGTTTTGCCCACAGATTACCTTTTTTACAGCCGCACAAATGTGCCGCTTTTCATCAAGAGCTAAATACATCACAGAGCTGGAGCGATTTCTTTATTAGTCTTCTTCATCGTTATCGCAGTAACCGCCTAAGTGATTTTGGCCGAGTCCACCAAAAAACGCCAGTCGTTTCTCTTCTGCGCCAAATGAGACCAATAAGAAATGCCAAATGAAGCCAAGTCCTTCTCCACAGGTCTTTCCATCGTAGAGGAGGCCTGCTTCTTCTTCTGCTATCGCGACTCACATTGTATACTTTCAGAGCTGGAACGTTTTTGTTCTGTTAATCAGCGTTTCGAAAAAACTGGAGAGCGTATTCGAACCAACACAGCGAGCTTACAACCAAGAGTATAAGTGCGTTTGTTTTCTTAGTCGGGGTTCTCCGACTCAACTTAACCTAGTTTAGCCAAAAAATAGCCTACGTTTTAATCAGCTTATTCTTGACTACGTCCAAAAATTGGCTAACCTAAGTTAAATTGAGTTGGAGAAACCAGCCCTTAGTGTTTCATTAGTTCATCTCTCAGCTTAGCTGTAAGGTCTCAGTATGCGCGAGCCCTAATATCAGTAACAAAGTCAGTTTGAGCTGATATCTGCTGTAGGAGGCAGCGAAATCCAAACAACCCTAAAACAGGCTTGAACTCCTTCAAAATTATTTGGTCAGTTAAGGGAGCTTATTTTTAAGGTTATAATTTACATTTTTTAAACTCATATATGTATGTACATATACATATCTTATACGCAAACAAAGAAAAAAGTCAATTTTACGTAAACTAATTTAATGATACTAATACTAGATGTCCTCTTTGATAGTACAGTGCATAGTAATTGCTTAAAGTACATCGCACTTTAAAAATGAGCTCTTACATAATTTTTGCCCTCTAAATTGCTAAGATGCACGTACACATATATTTTTCTTTTTTCTAATACTTCTTTGTTCTTCTTCTCCTCCTTACACATTTTTACAACCTACGGTTTCCCTTAATGTTAGTTTTTAAGCTTTTATAATTAAATTAAGTTCAAACACTGTAAAATAACTCATGGTTGTGTGTTTGATTATAATAAATAAATAAATAAATAAATAAACGTATCGATTTCCAACTTAATTGCGTAAAGCAAAATCAATTAAATAGAAAGCGATGCAAATCCATTTACCCTTGCGTAACCAAAGCACTTTTATGGCTGTCGTTTAAGTGACCACTTAACTCACACACATACGAACAATTAAAGCATAAAAGTATGTAAAAAGCGCTAAAAGTACATTTATACTAAAAGATATTCTATGTATATACTTCAACCTACACACATTCAGGAATACATTTATATTAAAATTCTAGCTTTTAACTTCCACCGCCATGTATGCCTCTAATGACCAACCTATACACTTTCTCTCTTATCTCATCCTCTTTACAGCTTTCCACAATCAAGCAATCAATCAACAATACAACAAACACTGTAAAGTAAAGGGCATTGTATTTGTCCGACCAACATTCTCTGAACAACTGTATCATCACTATTTGAGCACACTTCAAAACGCGACGAAAGAACTTCAAAATGTTGACAAATAGTCGACGAAACAAGATGCAGCAAAAGCTCTTTCCAGCGCCTTGTCGCTACAGCTGTACACTCAAACCGCTTTTGCTAGCGGCCGCAATTATGTTAGTGCATTCAATTGCACCGTCTAGCGCCAGCGTACATCCGGTACTCACATACACAAACGCATCCACACAGCTGGGTCAACTGGTCACCTCCAGCACTTTGGTGTGGGAGACGTACGACCCAAAGGATCCCAAGCAGCTAAAGTTTGCGGTCGAGGGCGGTAAATACATTACCGAGGACGAACACTATCCCATCTATGTGTGTCGTGTGACCATCGAGGGCATCACCACCAGCGGTCATACGGAGAAGATACTACAATCACATGTTTGTGTGGCGGCACATTACAAGCATGGCAAGTACGAACAGTTCGATGTGTTGGTGAATAAGGGGCACCTTGGCAAGATTATGTGGAAGCATTGGCGTAAATTCAATGCTGGCATACCCATTGGCGCCATACGCATCGGAGAGGATGACTATATTGGCCGCCATAAAGCGCCATCAACGGGCGAGAGCGGCGCTGAGCATCGCGGTGCCGATTATAATTTGGGTCGTTTGGATCCATTGGGTTTGGGTAAAATCAAGGTTATTGAAAGTGGTCGCGATAAGGACTATGATGAGGGTGAGGTGTTGATCGAGACCGAACCGTTTCGTTATGAATTGCGAGACATCAAATTGGATAGCATACGGCTGGATATGCGTGAGAACATCACTGATTTGGGTAAGTGGAAAGGCGTGTGTGTTTTGTGAATTCTGGAATGCAACGGGTTACAAGATGGCGACTTTTGAAATTAATTTTGAAAATAGTAGGGTTTTTTTATTAAGCCAGAAAAGATCTTGCAAGCTTCGAAAACCTCGTCACTTGAGACTGAGATATACAAATTTTAAACTTAAGGAGTTTGAAAGAATCTCCGGAATTTATTACCAAAAAGTCCCGCGAGTTTGACGACGAATAGTGCGAGCTTGTAGCTAAATGGGAATTAATGAAAGTATTAAGACACCCAAGCCATATATAAATCCGTTGATATTTATCTAACTAGTGATAGGATTCCCAGAGATCAGAAGACCTTTTACATAGCTTTCAGTCGCATTGTTATAGGAAGTTGCAAATATAGAAAAGAGTTGAAAGATTCTTCGCTGAAAGAGAATACTACCCGACTCCAATTTTAACATGTCTGCCTAAATTTTCGATATTTCGAATGAAACTGTTTCCATTACACCTTTAGCACTCAAGGTCAAAAGGGACACAAAAGCGGCTTCCTGAAATCGCCAGAAAGACAGAATTTATCAACGCCCAGAACTATTTACTCCAACCCGCACAGCTCGATTTGGGCATGATTTATGTATTAGAAGGCCGCGAATGAAATACCTTCCCATCGCTCGGCTGAGTTTAGCTCCAGAAGATCTCCTCACAATCTCGATGAAAAATGGGAGCGGTATGCCTTAAAGAAGTTTAAAGGTGCTGGGGAGCCACGATAATCTAAACTAACTTATGCTCAAATGTATGATACATCCGTAGGTTCGCACGACCTGTCTTCACATTTCTGTACTTGGTCGATTTCGTATTGAATTTTTAGGCTACTATGCTGCATATATTTAGGCGAACATTCTTTCAAAGCATTTTGGATACAAATATTTACCATAGCAATAGTAACTAAACTATTACGCAGATAGTAAGCTAGCTTCTTAAAGTCGGACCTTCTATTCGAAACTCTAGCTCAGCTATCCGTCCAAGCAGGGCGCAACTGTATATGTAATTCTTAACTCTAAACTTATTGAAATTAAATCGCAATTTAAATACTTTTGACGTAGCGAAACTTTAACCTTCTATCATCTTCTTCTAATTCCACAGTCATTTTCGTAACGCGTTGCATCTAAGCACACTTTTGTGATATCAAATTAATATCTTCTTTCTCTAAATTTCAGCTTCCAGCGTGCTGGCCAACCGTGGCGATATGTACATCCTAGTAGAGTCCGTTATGACTTACGAATTTGATTATGTGCAGTACTGGGGCTCACACGAAGGCGTGGCACGTGGCTTGCCCACAAAAGTCTACGAGAAAGATGTCACCGTGCCAACCGAAGTCAAATGGGGTTTGAAATATGTCGAAAAACGATCCGAAACGAAGTCGGTGCATACAAAACTCTGGCCAGGCACAGCTTTAAATGTTACCTTGAAGGGTAATTATGTGACGCTGGAAGCACCCTACAGCGCCAAATTGTATGCTTTCTATTATGGCATTGACGATAGCGTGTCGCGCAAGATCACAGCGGAGGTAAGTGCAGCATGTGAGTGTTGGTTTGGGTTGAAGATTTGGAATATACGCTTTTGTTAACAAAGATTTAAACGCAGGCCAACTACATGCATGCAATTAATTTAATATGTTCTTCCACTTAAAAGCATATTTTTCTTAACATTTTTTTGCCTACTTTTAGGTGCGCAAAAGCTACTTGAAAGACGTCAAACTTGAATTCAGTCCCGTCTATTGGATTGAGAATGGCACCTTTGTACCGACCACTACCACAACTTCAACCACATCCACTTCCACCACTACGAATCCCACTACAACCAGCCGCGAACCAGTGCCTATGCATGAACCACCAGTCGTGCAATTGAAAAATATCGGCGAAACACATTCGGGTCCCGATTCGTTGGAGAAATCGTTGCAGGACTCACCGCTCAGCAATGAGATACCCAGCGATGTACCCGAGAATTTGGCTGCCGAACAGCAAAAGACTTTACTGGCTGGCGTAACGGTAACAGGTAGTGGGCAACAACAATTACAACAACAAATATATGCGCTGCTCATAGCGCTGTTTGCGGTGACGCTGTGCGAGCGTATGACGCTGCGACGCATTTAGATTGACTTGGTGACCGCGCGAAGGGAATTAGCTGGCGTTTGGATGCAGAGTTGTTGAGGACTGGCGAAGTGTTGGGCAGCTTTCGGAGTGGGGTGTTGTAGGCTTAAGTGATTCAAATGGAAGTTTTGCATATGATTTGCTAGCTGTTGCGCCTGCAGCTGGCTAGTGCAGCGCTGTTTGTTTATTTTTCTATTTTTTTATTATTATTTTTTTTTTTAACAAAGCTTAGTAGTCGAGTATTGTATTTGAAAGTTCACTTTTGAGTTTACGAGTTCGAATTCGTTTTCTTTGTTAGCTACTGATAAATTTTGAGCTAAGAAATGCATATTTTAAAATCAAAAAAAAAAAAGGTAGGGAAAAAAGTGTGGGAAAAATAAGATACAATAAGCAAAAAGCGAAGAGGAATACAATAAAAATATAAAATGAAACAAAAATGTATTCTAATTAAGAAAATGCGAAAAATCCCAAATTTCGGACGCAGAAATTAACACAAAAAGATAATAGGCATTGTAATGGGTATAAACTGAATTAAGCGTAGAGTTTAGCGTTTAGTGTTTAGTTGTTGTTGTACCTGTTTTAACCGTCTGCAAATTGTTTAGCGCAAGCGAAGCAAAATGTACGCCCGTATTTGTAAATGTGAGACAGAAAAGAAAAAAAAAAAATGTGAAAAAGAAAGCAAAAGCAAAGCAAATCCAATAAAATCATGCAAATACTTATAACACAAAAGTAATGAAATAGTTAAAAAATATAGAAAAGGCTACTAACGACAATTTTTGAATTTTGAAAATGCTTTTTAAGACGGTTTGGATAGGCTAAGTACATACATACCTACATAACTATGTCCATATACATATACATATCTGTGCCTTTCAATTAAAGTGGCCTAAGTCGGGATATGCTCCT